CTTCTTTTACAGATATCCTCCCGCAAAAGGCGGCGGTGCAGGAAGAACCAGAGCTCTTGACCCCTGTATCCAAGAGGGAAAGGGGAGAAGCTGGCTGCGTGCCAAGAAGGATCTGGCAACCCTCCAAGTTCCACCCCCCGCGCTGAGCCTGGGTTTTGCCTTTTTTGCTCAGGAATTTGCGGAAGGAAAAGTCTAGTTTGAAAGATTTGAAGTGGAGATACAGAGAAGGGGAAAACAAATTTGTGACCAGTTTCGAAAGGCGAATCTTTTGAACGGACTTCTGTATGAATTCACATCAATGCAATTCATCATTCTTTTAAAGATTGGAATTGATGAAAAATTTTTTAAAGGGGTAAAAGCTTCGGAAATTTTTCATGAACTCCTATAATTGGCTTCGCGGAAAACTTACTTTATACCTTACTCTATATTGCATTTTATTTTCCTGAGCTGATTTTCTCAATCTTTTACGATAGTCACTGCGTTAGTTGCATTTGAGCCAATCGATAGCCGATTATTTGACCTTTACAGGATCAAGCCAGTCGTCTGATGAGCCAAAAAAATCATAATTCAAGTGAAGACTTTATTCTTTGTTAACTCCAAAGTATTTTACTTGGGGGGGGGGGGGGAAGGGGAGGGGAAGGGTGAGAAAAAAAGCCGTTGAAAAGTCGTGTTTCAAGAGGTGAACTTGCGAAAGTAGATGACAAATTAATCATCAGAAAGTGAGTTGCAAAATTGTTTCGAAAAGGTGAATTTGCGAAAGTAGATGCCAAATTATTCATCAAAAATTTTCGAGTTGCAAAATTAGAATCGGGCAAAAAGTTGAAAAAAGCAGATAAATTCACCAAAACTTGTCTGTTATTACAGTTATAGTAGTTTACATTGGTTTCGCCCCATTTGATATTGTCCCACTTCTGTAATCCTATGCCTCGACAACTGCCAGCGGGGTAAAATTGTCCAGGTTTGGTTCGCACTTTAAATCTGAGCTGTGAAGCTTTACTGAGCCTCCTCTCAGGCATAAGATGTTTGCATTTGCATTTTACGTCCTTCTTGGATCTGAGTATCCCGAATTTCGTAGTCTCTTTGTTAAAGTTATTATTAGAACCACTCTGAAACTTCATTTTCGTCTCTTATGTCCCCCTGCTTTGAATCAGTCTTTTTTCTGGTCATTTTCTAGGCTTTGTATCATTATTTCGATTCTGAGAGAAATTTAAAAACAATTTAATGGTAGTGGTGTTCCATACATTGACTCTTGGAAAGATGGTTACTCTATTTATGTATCAGGTTTATGACATGATACTATTTTTATTATCATCCTGGTACCTGAAAACCTGTTTGGGAATCTTTACTGTCCATTTTTCAAGTTCCAATTCATCGTTTAACCCCTTAATCCATCAGATTTGATCAATATCTGGTAGTCCATCCACCATTCTTGCTCAACACACAATGGGAGCATCCCGTGGGCGGAGCGATGGGGAGACCCTCTTCTGCCTTCCCCATTCCCCTTTGGATACAGGCGGCAAGGGCTTTGGTTCCTTCTGCACCATCTCCCCCGCAAAATGCGTAATTCCGCTAGCATGATATGAGAAATGCAGATAAATCTGCGACTTGAGTGATTCAGCATTTTTTGAAATTATAGCTCCGTTGTTGAGTGTGGCGCAAAATGAATAAGATTATAAGGGTGAACGTGGTCTTTCAAAATGAGCCGTGCATCGTTTCGCTTGGAACGTCAGTCGTAATCTGTGTTTCATATGTGAAACCTAACCATGACACATGAAGCATTTTCGAGACCTGCGTCGCACTCGATATACCTTATGAATAAGCGTCATGTAGAAGGTAGTCTAACAGCTAATCAAATGGAAATTCAAGAAGTGTATGCAAATACGAGTTTTTTGCAGCCAACAACCTCGCATTTCAAATCCATTTCTTCGAAAATTGAATATCTAAAGCATGCATCTCTCATTGAATGTTCAAAAAAGATAAAAAAAACTTTATAGTTGAATTCTCCAAGTAATGTCAGTGGCACCTATACCTTGTTAATGGCACCTATATTTTCTTATGTTCAAAACATTACAGGATCATGTTGTTTCACTTTAAGCTGCAAAAAGAACCTTGCAACACAGAGCGCTATGTGTAAGTGAAGAAAACGACGATAGAATGTTTTCTATCCAGTGTCCTGCAGTCTCTTACTATGCTTCGATCATTTTCTGTCATTAGTAGATTAAGGTGATGTAATCGTCGAATGCAAAGCTGCTGGTTTAGGATTGGACTTGTATACGTGCCAGGGTCCACCCCACTATCCAGTCACTTCCTGTACGCTCAGTACTAGAGCAGGTAGAGGACGACACTTCGCTCGTAGGCTCCACTCTTAGCGGACGTTTGGCACAGGCTGCAGCAACATGTTCTACACGTAGAGATGCGGTTATGCTGCAAATGTGCTGGGAAACATTCCTTTTCGGCGACGTAGTAAATGTACAATCAGATTCTACGGTTAAACGCAGGTCATATCTGCTCGTGACTTTGTCAGGTTACATATGAAACAAAAATGTACATTCACTGTCCCAGGTCTACACAACAGTACAACTTCTCTTCATTAGCCATTTATCGTCGTCTCTCCCGTATACGTTGGGCGGAGTATTTGCAGACATCTGAACACGTTGATGAACTTGTCAAACCTGTACTGCAACGCATGGTTCTTTGTACTCTCTAAACTGTTATATTGCTGTTGTCTTACGTGGCATTTTTGACAACGAGAAATAACAAAAAAAACAACGCCTTTTATTAGAGGGTTATCAAGTTCAACGTGTCTAGATGTTTGCAAATGCTCGCCCAACGTACACCGGGAAAGCGACGATACCTTTCCCTCGTGATAATCTCATGAAGAGCGGGTCCGCAACCTTTCCAATTATCAGTCAGTAATTACAAACACGGCCAAATTCTGGCGAATACTACTGCTTAGAAAAAGCAGAAATTCTAATTATCAGAAAAGTTTGTTCCACGCACATGAAGATCATCCGACCTACTTTACGAAGGCAACTCTGCTGTTGGCATCTTACTGTAGGTTGCTGTAGTTAAATGTTGAGTAAACGTCATCTTCAATCTCTGCATTTATTTGGAAATTCGAAAAGCTTTATTATAAGACTAGTTAGCTTTCCCGGTCCATCCCGGGCCATTGTTCACCTGCACTGCGAGCCCCTCCCCTCTTATATGTTACCAGCCGACTTTCCCGGTCCAGCGCGGGCCATTGTTTACCTGCACTGCGAGCCCCCCCCCCCCCCCTTCCCCTTATATGTTATAGCTGGCATACCCGGTTTCACACGGAACTGGATAGCCAAACCGTCAATAGGTATACACTCCCGAGTGAAATGGCAATACGTACCTCTCCGCTGTCATGCGCTTCACCTCCACCCGATCATCTCGCCTTGCCCTGCTTTTCTGCACAGAATACGACGTGCGAGAAAAAGAATAAATGGATCCACTAAGTGACTTATGTAAAGTCACCGCGTGCTGCCTAACCATTGTGTAAAAATGAGATCTACCGTCTTCGTTCACATGGCTGTGGCGGAATGACTTGATAGTGACTGCAAGCTTTCATTTCTCTAGGAGTCAGTAAACAAACCAATAAATCGATGAAAGGACCCGACGCATTTTTGTGAAAAGTAGCTAAACCGTCTCCAGGGTGACAAACATCTGTGTGCAAAGTTTCAGCTCAGTCGTTTCAGCCATGAGCGTTTCTTTGGAGCACGTACCCTCCAAAGAGACAATTTTTGAGTTTTATATACAGAGATGGATGACTTACGCTGGGACATCGACACTTCAAAACCTTCCCATCCTCGTGGTCCTAAGGCAAAAATGAGCTTTACCGCCCTCCTTTACGCGGCTATGGAAAAATGGTTGATTAAACATGATAAACCTTCTTATCCTTAGAAAAACGTAAACAAGTCAATAATCGATAGAAGGACCCAACGAATCACAGCAAAAAGTAGCCTCAACTGCGCAGGGGTCGAAAACCTATGTGTGCAAAGCTTTAGCTGAATCGGTTGAGCGGCGCGCGTTTTTATGGCGCACACAACCTCCAAACTGACAATTTTGAGTTTCATACAGGGTGTCCAAAGTAAGCACACACTTTTCAATCGTCAATATCTCTCTTCCCACTGAGTCTTTTTTTTGCCAATCAAGTACCATTCTGTAGAGGCTTTAACTAGATTTACCGTATTGAACGAATCACCGATATCGCTTCGTTACTGTAGGATTACGGTAAGAACTTCCAGATGTGGAACAATTATGAAATGTGCCAACTGACAAAACTTTTTTTTCAAAAATCTGAATTGTGGACTAGGATCTTCGCGCATGCTGATTTCACCTAACAACTTTTTACAAGTGTTTTCGGCTTTTCTGACGGTACATTTCTGACAAGTACTGGGAATTCGGTTAATGCGATTCACCTGGGATAACTTTAGACAAAAAGCATCACAGTAAAGTTCAAAATTCATATTCGAAATCATCGGCTTCCACTACCATAGAATAAGAGTTTTTGGCTTTCGGTTTTGTTCCGAGGCAGAATATAGCTTCCACTGGCCTAAAATCTTTTTCTTAGTTTCTACAGTAATCCTGCAGTAACGAAGAGCTATCGATGATTCGCTCGGTACTGTAAATTTAAGTTGAAGCCTCCCCTTTAGAATGGTACTTAAATGGCAGTAAAAGACACAATGGGAAGAGAGATATTAACGATTGAAAAGTTTGTACTTACTTCTGGGACACTCTGTATATATAGATGACGTGAATTCGTGATGTAGAGTACATTTGAATAACTTTTCTCGCATCAGTAAAACCAGAATTTGAAGACAAAATCCATAACTTCTTATGTACATCAAGTGAAGCATAAGAGTTCTTCGCTGTGTGCTAAAGCGTGCCGTTCCAAAGAACAACAAAGCCACGTTTTACAAAAACAACAAAAACCGTTTGTGATAACTCAATACATTTATTATTATATGTAATCTAGGTCAAAACAAAAATGACTCGTGGCCCACGAAAAATCCTTTGAGTTTTGGTCTTGGACACTGCAGTTTGTAAGCTGGATCAGGATTGAGTGAGTTTTTATGATATCGAACCTGAAAATGCAAGTTTGGATGCTTTCCATGTCCTCGCACCCTGTTTACAACCATCGTAAATTTCCAATTTTCAACCATGAGCTCGTTTTTACTCACGTTTTCAAAGGAGTCATAGAAACGCACATCCAACTCATGGTCAACTTGGCCTAAGAACGTTCGATTGAAAAGCAACTCGTGCGTACAATCAACGATTGCGTAGTCAAAACTTGGATAAGGCTAAAACAATTTTAACCCATTATGACGCTAAACTTTCAACTTTCATAAAACCTACCTTGTTAGCCATCAGACCCCTAATCGTAGACAGTCGTTGCAAATTCTCAATGCCAAATATGCAGATATTATGTCTGTACATAGGACATTGAAAAAACTTCTTATTTCCACCCCAAAAGGTGACCCTAAATTTCAAACCCTGAAGCGACTAAATTTATTTTTTTCCGCGTATATATCCCAATGCCCTTGCTATCACAAGTTTTGATAAAGTAGAAGACCGCTTAATGATTACTGCACTGATTATGTGTTCCACATTCAATTTTCCTTACTCACTATGAATTCTTTGAACGATAGATTTCTTGCAAGATAAACGTATCAACAAGCGAAGTAGTTCATTCAGCGTTTGATATGTGCGCTATTTGGAGTGTTAAAACAATCCGTACTCAGATCAGCTTGAGCTTGTGGGTGGCCGTTACACTACAAAAAGGTCGTTTTTGCCGCTTCTGACGCTGCGCGTCGTGAAGTACTTTGCAAATTTTGCGTGAAACCTCAGAAAGGAAGGCATTTTCAATTTTTGCGTTGCGTTCGCCTTCATATTCATTTTTTCGGTACGAGGTGTACGTGGGGTATCTACTCAAACATTAACTTAAAAGTTGGTCAGGATGCCTTTATAGCATCTGACAGAGTACATACTTTATATAGCAATTACTTGTGGAATTATACTTTTCTCCACACGCTTTCATACTGCAATAGCATCTTCTACATGTGCCAAACAATAATTGTAAAAGACAGAAATAAAGTAAATCGAGAGGTTTTCATAACGTTTATGACGAAAACACCGCATACGCGAAGTTCGGACAAGAAACTTTTGTGCGAGAGCTTGAACTTTGTGGAAGTGCGACGTCGAGCGGCACAGCCGCTGTAGTATAACGCCCGTTCCCTTGAGCCTGACATTTACCACCTCTTGGTTTTACACGATAGAACACAAAAGCTAAGGGATTGACCATATGTTGCCGGCAGGTGTTACCAGGGTTACTGACGCTGCCGTTCGCTGTAGGATTTTACACTAGTCATTGTGTGTTGAGCGCTGCCTAACAAGGGAAGGATACTTGGTGACCGTGGCCTTTTGCACTGCGATGTATAGTAGATGGTTTCAAATCTATGTTCATTATCTGCTGTGCGACTCTCTGAACGAAGTTGTGGACTTTTTTCCATGTTGATTTTACGAGAATTAGGCAGTCAAAATCGTTAGTATTCAGGCTTTTTAGGCTCTGATAAATCGGAGTCAGTTTTTTAGAGCTTGACGTAAAACTTTACTTTATTTGGAAGCTCCTTTTATAGTGCATAAGCGAACATTCTAACGATATTGGTGAATCCTGCATCAAAAACAGTGCAAATTCTGGTGGCAAGAAATGTTCATAACTTTTTTCGGAAGAGTGCACAGCAGATACCGAAAGCAGATTTGGAATTAGCGCCTCAAGTTACATTCAATGGTATACGTTTCATATCAAAAGGCCACGGTCACCAAGTATCCTTTCCTTGTAAGTGGCAATGCTCCCGGCAACGTACGGCCGATCTTTAAAGCTATAGAAACTCTGCTGTAGCACCTCAACAAAATGATTTAGGCTATCTATTCAAGTTGAAATGCTCGAGGTGAGATAAACATCTTGGAATGAGCAACGGTCACGATGTGTTTGCAGAATTTTGTCTAAAGTTTTGCGGTCATGGCTTCCGAAAATTTTAGAAAAAATCACAAAAAATTTTAATTGATCAGTCAGGGTGCATATAACGTTCTCATATATATCTTTTGCCTGTCATTTTGTGACACCATGCTGCTAATTTCACGCAAACAGTCGAACGGGACTTGAAAATTGAAATGGAAACAGTGGAGAAATTTTGACATCTGAGTATGCGCTGCTAATTAAGGATCTCCGGATCCCTGGAATCTCGATCTGGACAGCCGATAATCGTTTGAGCTTGAATACATAAACGTTCTCTTAGACGTCAAAATCTAGCTCAAGACGAAAGTCAGTATGGAGACACTACAAAAAGAAAAGAAAGATCCGGATAATGAAGACTTACCTTCGGTAACGTAATAATGTGCTAGACCACCACATGCGCAGATACACCTTCTACCTCTTTTTTAGATTCTCGTGCACTTCTTTTTTACCCGTTAAATTAACCGAATTGCATAACTGACCGTTGCCCAACAACAACCCTGGCTTAGCGATTTTCGTCATGGGCCAAAATCTTGGCGTCCAAAAAAAAGTCTCACTTATTTTCGACTTTCTAGGCTCTGACGAAGGCGATTTTGCAGAAACAATGGCCACAAAAAGAGTGTGTCACTATAATCGTCAAGATTCAATCAACTCACGCATTTGAAAGAGTTTCTAGGCCTTGTTTAGTATCAAAAACGTGCAAGATTTTTTCGTCTTTCCAATGAACAGATGGTTCAGTAGGTTCTGAGGGCGTAGTCTGAACCAAAAATTACTTATTCTATAGTTGTCGAGATCACAGTTTAAAAGACATATAATCTCAAAAAGAGTAAAAGTGATAATGCTATGAGTAATAGCCTGACTCATGGCTCTATTGCGCATCTTTTCCTAAATTAACTTCACCGAGATAGAGTTAAAAGATTAACGAAGCATAAACCAGTCCAACGACCGTAGCCAGATAACGAACACAACGAGCACTGCGCACGCTAGCACTTATGTGAGTTCACATTAACATAATCCTATTCAAAGAACCCATCCATGCAGACCTCGTAATACATGGCACATAAGTTTCATTGTTGAGGCATTTTGCTGTGAAACTTCCTGGCATTTGCAGGTCGTCGTTCATCTGCAGGACAGACCAAAGCGTTTCATCTATAGCATACTCCTGAAATTCAAAAATAATCAAATACCATGCTTCTTAAATCAAGGGTTAGCTTTTCTTTTCTTAGTTTCTAGATCAATTTGTTGAGTAGGGGACAGCGCAACTCACTTTTGAAAATCTCAGGATGGCAAGAAGTATCGCTGAGTTATTCCCTTTTTTGGATTTTTTTCGTATTATAGAGGAAATTTGCATTGTTCCAAGCCGCTCTTGTAACGCATTAGGGTCTTTCAAACTCATAGTAAAAGTAAAAAAAGCATTTTTGTAAAGGCTTTGCTAATGAGATTTACATGAGCTGACGGGTTTCGAAAAACGGTTTTCCACATTTGCTAAACTGATTTCTGCCATCGAATTGCTTGATTTGGTTTATTAAAAGGGGCGATAATGCAACATGCAAAAATTGTCATTGTTACATCCAATTGTCTATCAACCTCCGAAACTGGAATTGGGAGTTGCTCGACAATTATGACCTTGCTGCGAGCGCTCAAGCTTAATGTCAATTAGGCACAAACAAAAGCCTGTAGAGTCAAATCGCGCAATGTTCAACAAGTACTGATGCCACACTAATCAGTCTTTTGGGTCAGCCACCGTGATACACAATATATTAGAAAGCGTCTCATCTATTAAAGTGCTCATAGGGTTTGTACGATTTTTGAAGCAAAAATGAATAACATGGAGCATTGGAACACAAGCAATTAAAGTGATTACTGTAAAAAGAAAAAAAATCAGCATAGATCAAATGACCCACAAGCAAAGGCGGAAAATTTCTACAAAAAAAAACTTTTTGTAAAGGTCAGTTTGTCAGCCAAAATGTCAGTAAAAATGCGACAGTCACGGCTACTTTGCTTGAGTTTAGATTACCAATCAAAAACGCGGGTTTTTGAAAGCCCTTATTGACTGTGGATTGCGTTTAGGCACTTGTTTTTCGCTCATAAATATGTCCGCAGCTATTTAATTACTATGATTGTTAGCATTTCCTCGGAGCGCCTCAGCAAAAGCGGGAGAGGGGTGAGCAATATGAAGTTCATGAAAGATGTAAGGTGTGACAATTCAATTATGCGAGGCCACCGATTTCGCTGATTAAGGGAGGGTCTTTTGATAAAACATGATGATACACTTACATCTTGCAATCCTGAAAACGACAGGCGTAGGCAATCATTAAGGGTATCAAGCGAAAGCTTGGCAACATTGGCGACTAGTGAATGAATACGGACACTTAGAATGGTTTTATTTTACCAAACCTCTGTCTTTTCCAACTAGGCTCAGGCTTGTTTGAATGGTGCTGACTTAGACGTCAGCTTAATCGTACCATCGATCTAGATGTACATTATTTGTAAACGTGATGAAGCCAATGCCCAAGCAAAAAACATTTATGCAGATTTTATTGTGTGGTGAATTTTCTTAAGACGGGAGGGCCGCTGGTTGGGACCGGTTTTTGAAACCGCTTTTGCTACTTGACGATCAATCTCTGATAGCAACCATTTAAAAAATTTCAAATGCCGTTGTCAAGGGCTCTGCTCAGCACTTGAACAAATTAGTGAACTGACCGATAGCGAAGTAAATCGGGTGTAACGCATGCCTATTTTGCAGAGTGATTGCATAACGCTAGGGTCTAGGCCATCAATTATGTCGCTTACGCGTTTATACTATCCGCTTACATCATTGCTGGGGAGGCTCTAATAAAGGAGAAACCGTTTTATAGTTGAGTTTTCCTGTTTGAGTAAGAGAGAGGTGGCATTTTGGTTGCTCTTTTGCACTTTCGTAAAGTTTGCTCTTTCTGCCTTTTCGTTCAATTTTTTGTGACAGTTTATTCTTTTCAAAACTGGCTCCACACGGCTGTTTAGTCACCTGTTAGATATTGCCTTGCTTTCGCCATTTCTCATTCATTTGACATTGGACAGTATGAGATCGATAATCTCTCTTGGGTAGATCAAAAAAGCCTGACAAAACGACTCGAGGAACAATAACAACAATAAAGGAGGATAAATAAAGACGATTCTGGTACTTGCAGCCTCCTCACGCGATATTTGAAATTATTAGGTTGTGTAATAAGTTTGTTCGATTTTTCGTTTCAAGTCTTTCTGAGTATTTTACAAAGCTCCTCGTTGTTTGTTTGAGCGTAGTTGAAGAATGGTAATGATCTTTAGGGCAGAATACTGCCTAATATATCGGCGAACTCGCCTTCTTCATAGTCTGAAAAGTCGAAGACACATAAGTAAACTATTCGATGAAATCCCTCGTGAACAGAAAACAAACAACGAGAAGATTACAACCATGCCAAGATTTATGGATAGTCGAATGTAGACGCTTATTTTACAAAGCATTTGGCGCAGTGTTTGTATGCATTGGAGACTCTAACAAGGAATGTATTATACTTGGGTAATTCGATAATTTTTCATCGAATGAATAAATATCGAATAAATTCGAAAATAAAAAATCTCGAATAAACGAATATCGAATAAATTCGGAAAATCAAAAATATCAAATGAATGAATTTCGAATAAATTCGGAAAAACAAAAATATCGAATGAATGAATTTCGAATAAATTCGGAAAATCAAAAATATCGAATGAATAAATATCGAATATATTCGAACATTGGAAGTCGAATTTCGAATAAATATTCGAATGATTTATCGAATAACTAAAGCAATCACATCTCAAACTTGCCGACATATCTGGCTAAACCCGATCCAATCATAATCAGCCCCCTAGTATCCCCTATACCAACTCCTAGCTCAAAATTCTCCAAAAATTGCTGAAATCAATAAAGTAGACTTCGGGTTAATCAGCACCCTCACTTACCCCTTTGTACCAACTCCCAACCTCGTAGCCCAAAATTTTCCAAAAATCGATAAAATCGATAAAGTAATTTTTTATCCATAATCAGCACCCTCACTTACCTCCTTGTACCAACTCCCAACCTTGTAGCTCAAGATTTTCCAAAAATCGATAAAATCGATAAAGTAATTTTTTATCCATAATCAGCACCCTCACTTACCTCCTTGTACCAACTCCCAACCTTGTAGCTCAAGATTTTCCAAAAATCAATAAAATCGATAAAGTAATTTTTTATCCATAATCAGCACCCTCAGTTACCCCCTTGTACCAACTCCCAACCTCATAGCTCAAGATTTTCCAAAACTCGATAAAATCGATAAAGTAAATTTTTATTCATAATCAGCACCCTCACTTACCCCCTTGTACCAACTCCCAACCCCGCAGCCCAAGATTTTCCAAAAATGATAAAGTAGGTTGGCAACTAGACTATACATCAGCAAAAAGTCATACTAAAGCAGTCGATATAAATTTTTATGCTGTGCCCAAAAGATTCTTCTTCATTGGTCTGAAAGAGACCACATACAGGGTGTCTCAAAAAGATGTGCACACTGTTTGTTTGTAAATAACTTTTTTGTGGTGAAGTGTTTCGAAAAGCTTTAGGTACCATTTTGTAGAGCGAGGTTCAACTTAGATTTACAGTGTAGAGCGGATCGCCGATCTCTCATTCTTACTGTAGGATTACGGTAGAAACTTTGACGAGGGTTTTGAGCCATGAAAGGCCATAATTTGTTCCAAAAAGAAACCAAAACAACCTGAAAACTCTCACACTGGGCTAACTAGAGTTGCTGTTTCTAAATGTGAAGTTTGCAACTCTTCCTAATGCTTCATTAAAAAATTATGCGAGGTAAGCAGCAGCAGACGTTTTTTAAGTGTTCCTAAAAACTGCGGTTACACCGTTTAGAAAGCTTCTCAACCTTGTAAAGAGTTGGGTATTGAACTCAGGGTCCATAAAAACCCTATTACACAAATTTCCACATTTTTTTTGAAAATTTTTGAAACGGTCCCTTTTTTCACAGTGACACCATATGTTTGAAGTTTCTACCGTACTCCTACAGTAAGAATGAACGACCGGCGATTCGCTCTACATTGTAAATCTAAGTTGAACCTCGCTCTACAAAATGGTACCTAAAGCTTCTCGAAACACTTCACTACAAGAGAGTTATTTACAATCAAGCAGTGTGCACATCTTTTTGGGACACCCTGTATGTACTTAAATTCCACAAATGCTACGATACATTGCCTGTTCATCGGAGACTTTCGTCTTGTGTGGTATAAGTTAGTCGTGGACGAAGCATGTGGTTTCCTCCGCGAAGCGATCACGAATGTCCCTATAACCCCGGGCATACTGCAGGCATTTCAGTGGCGACGTGGTATGGCAATACTCAAATTGTCCAAAACCTACTCTGAAAGTACAGAATGCAGGGCATTTATCTTTTTAGTATGTTGTACACGCTAAACATTTGTGGTAAGCTGCCATTACATCTGAAGACATCTCGTAACTGGCAAATCGCGTACGGCGATCTAAACCGTCTAACCTTGCACTAAAACTGCGATGTCCTTTACTTACTTTAATCATTTATGCGAGCAAGAGTGCTCACTAGTGTGGGCTTTGCGTACCGCAAGCATGAGCAATGCAAAGAAAGAAGAACAGCCATTTCAATTCAGTATGAACTCAGAACAAGAGCTTGAATTTGATATCTTCTTTGCTGAGTTGGTGCCAATAGCAGTGCGAACAATCTCATTGATTGAAAAAACATCAATTAAAATCCACATATGATTTTTTTTTACTGTCGCAAGCAGTCGGAAGAATGCGACTCTCCATTCAGTTCAAAGGTATACCGGTTGCAAAAGTTGCATACCGAGTTTTGCGAGAAAAAAAAACGCGGACGAAGTGAGCTTGATACTCAGCAGTTGGCTCTGCAACAAAGTCGAATACTCTGAATACGGAGTACATTCGAATACGAATTCGAATAAACATTCGAATAAAACATTCGAATAAAATCTATTCGAAACCCCTTTTTTGATTATTCGAGTTTTCGAATAATATTCGAAACCTCGTTTTTTGATTATTCGAGTTTTCGAATAATATTCGAAACCTCGTTTTTTGATCATTCGAGTCGAATTTTATTCGAAACCCCGTTTTCTCAATTATTCGAGTTTCGAATA